AGGCAGGCTCCGTCTCATCGTTTGACCTCACGGTCCCCTCCTGAGAAGCCCTTTCTGCTCAGCCCGCCTCAGCTGGCTTCTCCCACTCATGTCACTGGACAATTGTATTATGTGCACACCACCTCTTATGACCGGAGCTCACCGACTTTCCTACCAGCTCTTTCCTCCTTCTCTCTAGCCCCGCAGCAAACATATACACCACCAGGGCAGGGCCTGGGCTGGGCCGAGTCCAGCTGCTGTCTCAGCGCCCCACTCAGAGCAGGGCTGGACAGACGGAACAATGGAGACTTAGCAAAGCTAAGCATCTGGCCCTAAGTCTCGAAATGGAATCAGGATTCAATTCCAAGAGTTTCGATGCCTGAACCGGAGGCCCCAGATGATGTAGTACAGCCCAGGTCACATGCCACTGGGCCCTCAGCATGGAGGCGTGGCCTGCTGGCTACCTGTGCTTTCTGTCCCTGGCCCAATCCTTTAAGACCCTCTCCATCCCCCTGCGGTCCTCATTGAGGGGGTCTCTGTCATAAGACCGGACTGGCCTGGGCCGGGTGGCCGTGTGAGTTGGAGGCCACGGGCAGTGTGGTAGCGGGTTGGGCAGGGTCCCCCAGGAGCTAGCTTTTCCTCAGAGCTGTGGCGCGGTGAGCCCCCTGGAGCATGCACCCATGCTGGCATTCGGGGCGAGCAGCGCCTACCTGGGATGTGAAAGTGCCTGGGAGCCTGGTAAGAGGTCGGAGTGGAGGCCCTCACATCTAACTGGCTATGGTATGGAGAGCTCCGGCCACTCGCCGGCCCTGGAGCGCGCAGGCAGTGGTCCCCAGAGAGAATAGAGGCACAGAGAAAACGGGCTTCAGTGCGCTGGCAGTCCAGGAGACAGAGAGGCGATGGCAGCGAGGATGGTGGGGTGGGCGGGGGCCCGGCGTGCTCAGGCCGGTGCTGGGAGAAGCGTGTGCTCTCATGCATGTCCGAGGGGAAAGGACGTGACCCTGCTGCCTCACAGGACCCCAACGTCAGTGCTCAGGGGTGGGACGAGTCACCTCCAGGCGGGAACCTCAGGAAGGCCTCTCCAGCCATAAGGCTGGCCAGCCTCCAGCCCAGAACCCCTCTCCTTAATTGTACTTCTTCTCCATGGGAGTTGGGTGCACCCAGGCCACATTTCTTTCACTGGGTTCCAGGTTCTGCGCTCTGACGTGGCAGGTCAGCGGTGAGGGAGAAGGAATCTTCCCTGCTCCGCCCACTCCTGGCAGCTCACCACCCACCTTTATGCAGCTTCTTGGTGCCCCTTTCCCCTGGACCCAGGGCGCATCTGCAGGGCTCAGGGAGCCACTCGGGTGACCACGCTGGGGTGGGATCTTAGGGGAGTCCAGAGCTGTCTCCCAGCCCAGGGGCACCAAGCCACTACATTAGCCCAAGGGTTCCATCCTCCCCTGGGGGCTCCCTGTCCTTACCGGAGCGGTAGTAGTGGTGAGGCGAGCGGGAGAAGGTGGGGGACATGCCCTGCCGGCTGTAGGTGGGGGAGTCGATATAGCCGGGGCTGGAGGCCCGTCTCTGCCGAAGGTCCAGGTTCTCGTAGATGTCCTAGAGGATGAAGGGGGCACTGTGAGCCAGGCAGGCCCTTAAGTGCCCTGTGGCCCAAGGATCAGGCAGGCAGGTGTGGGCACAGCCTAGATCAGGGAGTCCAGAAACTGCCCTCTGAGCCCTGCTCCCTCATGCGTTCCCAGTGCAGCCCGAGGAGAGGGAATTCCCTGCACCTTCACCCCTCACTCCCTGGCCCCTGAGTGGACCCCAGGGTCAGTCCCCGCTGGTTAGAAAGGGCAGGGCAGGTTCCCTCCCTGCCGCTCCCAGCGTCATTCTACCATCATCCCCTGACTCCTGCCCCAGCCTGTCTCTGCCCCATTTGGGGTTCAGGGCCCTTGGGGGGCTGATGGGGAGGGTCAGGGCACTGCAGTCTGTATAGAGGGACACAGGTATAGGAAAGCTCTCCCCCAAATGGCTTCATTACCTGCGAGTAGGGAGATAACGTTCCCAGCGACTGAGAGGCGAAGTTTGGAGGCAGCCAGGAAGGAACACAGAGGAGAGAGAAGGGAGCGAGCAAGGCACAGGGTCTGGTTAGATGCCTCAGCAGGGAGGGAGGGCCTGCAGCTCCCCCGGGCCGGGCACTTTCTCCTGAGAACAGCTCCACCCAGAACCCCAGAATACCAGACCATGGGTAGGGAACTTCAGATCGCGTCCTTCATTTACAAATAGGGAAACTGAGGCCCTGGGAGGAAGAGGCAGACTCTTCACTTGGACCCCAGCATCTGCAGCCCTGGCTCATAGTGATTTTCATGACGCGTTGCTGTCCCCCTGCTGGCCCATGCACCCTCTGTGGTTCGTGAGGCCAGGGCAGGGCAGGCCACCCCAATGCAGGAGCCAAGCAAGGGCCCCGAGAGAACAGAGCTGGGGGGAAGGAGGGCAAGGGCGTGAAGCTGGGAAGTGAAGGGCACACCCCCGGGGGCAGCTGCTCCTCCTCTCCGGCAGGTCAAGGCCATGATGAAGTGCCTGCCCCGTGTTTACACAGCCCCCTGCTCTGCAAGAGAAGCAGACCCTGAGGTGACAGCTCCCTGCACTTGCATGTTGGCAGCTGACGTGCATTTTTAAAAGACACGTTGTAAGGGAGACGAAACCAATCTGGAGCTGGCTGGCTGTCGCCTGTGAGCCGGGACTCTCCCCTCGGGTTTCAGGACAGTAGGCTTCAGGGCTCTGCTCCAGAGTGTCTCAGCCACGGGCTTGAAAGCTGTATCGGGCTCACACGTGGCAGGGGGCTGCTTTCAACCACACAGAACCCGGCCCTTTAGAGGGGAAAGGGATGTTTCCCAGGTTCCAAAGTGAGGTAGTGGGGGAGCTGGGATGAGGACCCCAGGCTCTCATCCACCAGAGGCCAGTGCTCCTTCTGCTTCAAACTGTCCCATCTCAGAGGCCTGGGCTGGGCTACAAAGCTTGCCCCTGACCCTGCTTTTGCAGAGAACGCCTCTCCCCATCTTTCCCTCCCCCTCCCCAGCCCCTGGGTGCCGCGGAGTCCATGAGGACCCACGGCGACCCTGTGCGCAGCAGAGCAGAATTGCCCTTCATATGGTTTTCAATACTGAACGTCTGGGAAGCAGGTCACCAGGCCTTTCTTCTTAAGTGCCTCTGGGTGACCTTGAACTCCAGCCTTTTTGCTAGCAGCCAAGTGCATTAAATGTTTGTACCACGCAGGGTGCTAGCTACCATTTAAATATTTCAAAAGCTATTGGATGCAGAATCTTTATAAAATAACTTCTTGCGCTGAGCACAGAGGCTTTAAAACCCACTCACTGCCGTCAAGTCGGTTCCAATCCAGAGTGAGTGACCCTGTGAGTTTCCAAGGCTGTGACTTTTTATGGGGACAGAAAGCCCTGTCTTTCTCCCATGGAGTGGCTGGGGGTTTTGAACTGCTGACCTTGTGGTTAGTAGCCCAACGCATAACCGCTACCACCACCGGGGCTAAAGCCAGATGCAAAAACCATACCGACCCAGGGACAATAAACTCCAATGTCCACAGAGCTTAGGGACGTAAGTGAGAGCCATGGGCTGGGCATAGGAAATATGTCTCCACTCAGAGAAAAATAACAGCTCCAGTGCTGAGTGGTCACAGCTCTTGGCCTCAATGTTGGGAGTGGTGGGTACTAGAGAGAAGTGGAGAGCCCATGGCCTGCCCATGGCTGCCACCGATCTGCTTATCTGCAGAAGGTGGCATGGTCTGCCCATGGCTGCCACCGATCTGCTTATCCACAGAAGGTGGCATGTCCTGCCCATGGCTGCCACCGATCTGCTTATCTGCAGAAGGTGGCATGTCCTGCCCATGGCTGCCACCGATCTGCTTATCCGCAGAAGGTGGGAACGCAGGTTTGGTGTTGTCAACTCGTGATTGTTTGGTTTTTTTTTGGAAAATAAGTCAGGATTTTATTTTATTTTTTTGATGAAATCTCTTGAGTTTTAAATATTGACCATAGGTTTCAGCATATGAAATTCTGGTGCCAATATAGTGGAGGTCAGACCACCTGTGATGGCCTGGGCTGGGGACTGCAGTGGGACCTCCTCTGCTCTAGAGAGGGGCAGGGGTCAATACCTCGCCATAGCCACATCTCTCCAGCATCTCGTCAGACGTGTATCTGGAATGAGGCTCGTAGGAAATGAGGTCGGGGCGCTGTACCTCGTAGATGGATTTAACCTTGGGGAGAGCTGCCAGGTCTTTGTAATTAAGGATCTCATTGTCCACTTTTGCCTGGGGAAGAGGAGGGTGCACAGGAGAGAAGCAGAGAGATCAGTGGGAAAGGAAGGAGGACACACAAAATCTTAGCACCAGGGACTCACAGAAGTTTAGAACTAAGAGGTGGCAGTGCCCATCCCTTCCAACAGGAGGAGTGTTTGTGGCACGAACACCATGTGCCAGGCCCTGCGCTTTACAGGACGTATCCCCTTTGCCTGCACCTCTGGGAATTATCAGGCGTATTCCTATTTTCCAGGTGAGGATACCAGCGCTGTAATTATTCACTGGCTTGTATCCCTTAGCTGGCAGGTTTGAACTGAGTCTGAACTACACAGCCTGGGGCAGAACTGGTTTCCCAGATCACAGGAGGGAGGGCTCTCTCCATTCATAGCATCCTTGGAGAGGTGATGGATGTGGTAAATGTTAATCATGATGGTAAAACACGAGCACTGGTGTAAGCCAAATGCTGTCTTAAGTCCCTTAAATCCCTTGTGTGGAGGAACCTGACTGGTCTGTATGCCTCACAAGTCTGATAGTTAGGCACCAATATCAGGAAAGAGAAATCAGGAAAGAGAAGCGCAAAGCAATCATACTAATTAGTTAATGTGTCGGAAGCAGAATTTGAACCCAGGCCATCTAACCTGAGAGCACCGTTAACTTCCTGTGATGGGAGCTCATGGTCTTCCACTGTCAGGGGGCGGCACTCGAAAGGCTGCCCCTTTTCCAGACTGACATGAGCCCCCACCTACTATGTAACTTCGTCTGAAGCAAGCCTCCTGCAAGGAGAGATCCCTCTAGCATGTGACAGTCCGTGCACTGTGGCTCTGGAGGTTGTCCTGTCCTGTCCACAAACCCTCCAGTGGGTCCTGCTGTGTTGCTGCGGCAGCTGTGAGGGTCCCCTGGGATTGGTCCCCCTGTCACTACCATGACTTTCAGGACTCTGGGGTGGGGCAGAGTAAGACTGAGGCCACCTGTCTTTAGCACATATTCCCAATGAGGGCCTGTAAAGTCTCACAAGTATTTCATAAGCTTTAATATTTTAATATTTTCCCTCGTCTCTTCCACGATTCCATCCCCAACCAATTCCACTGCAGTTTGGATGCTATTTATTGTCCTTCGGTCTACTGTCCCCACTGCCTTGCCTCGATCTGTGCGCTGGGACCCTCCATACACTTCCATCTCCAGGACTTCTTGCTCCCAGGCTTTCAATTAATTGTGGCAAATGGGAGGCACCAGTAGAAACTGGAGACTGGTACATTGATATCTCCCTTATCCACTTGGCTGGGTTCCAAAGACCAGGCTGTTCTGTGAAATTGGTGTTATGTAAAAACTAAGGATGAGCACGTCAGGTCACAGCAGGTGGATGTGACGACAGCATTCCATCACTCCAAATGACATCCTGACTTAATGGCCAAACCAGTGAGAAGGAAGTGAGGTGCAGGGGTGCTCTCCCTGCCTGGCCCTGGGCTTGGTAGTGCCAGGCTTCTCTCCTGTCCACTGGCTGCTCTTCCACAGCTCCGGCTCTCGCCACCTCTTGTCACACTGTGTGCTTCCCTTGTCCCTCCTGGCCTAGGAAAGGTCACTGCTTTCCACGGTTGTGTTGCAGGTGCTGTCCGGCAGCGATGACTCATCATGACCCTGTCTCTGCGCTGGCCTGAAACACCACCTGGGCATCGTGGCCCTGTCTCTGTGC